GAACCCCTAACCTGAAGTGATCCACCTGCCTTATCCTCCCAAAGTGCCAGGATTACAGGTGTGAGCCACATGCCTGGCCTTTTTATTTTTTTGCTTTTTTTTTTTTTAGAGACAGCGTCTCATTCTGCTACCTAGGCTGGAGTACAGTGGTGTGATCTTGGCTCACTGCAGCCTCCACCTCCTGGGCTCAAGCAATTCTCCTTCCTCAGCCTCCTGAGAAGCTGAGATTACAGGCATGTGCCACCATGCCCAGTTAATTTTTGTATTTTTAGTAGAGACAGGGTTTCGCCATATTGGCCAGGCTGGTCTCGAACTCCTGACCTCAAGTGATCCGCCCACCTTGGCCTCCCGAAGTGCTGGGATTACAGGCGTGAATCTCAGCGGCCAGACCTGCTGAGAGGCTTTTCTCAAATATCTAACTGGTGGTCCTTGACTACCTATTTAAGAGAGAGCCACTAACAATCCAACTGGGAGCTTCGATAAGAGGGTAGGCCTTAGGTACTGGTTTGGATCACAACGAGGTAGGTGGTTGAGCAAGGTTATCTAGCTATTTTGTTGCCAACTCCTAAGTGTCTGTTTTTTGCAGACATTTATTCTTGGGTTGTCAGTTTCCCTGAAGAAAATTTCTTTAAATTCCTGCCTTGGTGGGTAGAAGCTTGTGGCAACCAGTAGGGTGAGAGGGCTAAGGAGTCCCACTGCTCACTATGTGGACTTTGATTTAAGTACCTGTTTCCAGGAAGGTACAAGACTTACTCCTAACCTCAGCTGAGTATGGTATTTAAGTCTAGATTTTTTTTTTTTTTTTTTTTTTATCTGCTCCAAATAGTACACTTCCCATCTTCTATGGAGGCAGGAAAAATATGGGGGTTAGAGAGGGGTACCTGGGAATGTAGATACTTTCTCCTAAGACTCACATATTTCCTAGTTTTCAGCCGCACTCCTACACCTCCTCCTGTAAGGTAACTGCATGCTTATAATTTCTGGGCATTTCAGGGATTCTACTGAGATAATTTATTCTTCCTTGTTGGCCCCCGTCTCTTCCAGATTTCTTAGCAGAACAGAGAAAGCCAAAACTTGAGACAGTTCTCATTTGTCTGTTTTCTATCCAGAATGTTTTTGACAGGTCTTTTCTGCTGACTGCTTTGTCCTGTTTACTTTTAAACTTTGTTTTGTTATGCTTTTAGTGAGGCTTCCTGAAGAAATAGAGGTAAATATACATGTAAACCTTAACCTTAAAGAATTCAGTCATTTGAATGGTATAAATATTATGGACCTAATACTTTCCTTGCTGCTGGAAATCCAGTAGTACACAAAACAGAGAAATATCCCTGCCCTCATGGAGTTTAAATGCTAGTATAAAGACAGATGCAAATCAAGACAAGAAGAGGTATAGTACATTAGATAATGATAAATGTTAAGAAAAAATTTTTAAGGCTGGGCGTGGTGGCTCACGCCTGTAATCCCAGCACTTTGGGAGGCCAAGGTGGGTGGATCGCCTGGGGTCAGGAGTTCAAGACCAGCCTGACCAGCATGGAGAAACCCCTTCTCTACTAAAAATACAAAATTAGCTGGGCGTGGTGGCACATGCCTGTAATCCCAGCTACTCAGGCGGCTGAGTCAGGAGAATAGCTTGAACCCGGGAGGCAGATGTTACAGTGAGCCACGCACCATCACACTCCAGCCTGGGCAACAAGAGCTCAGAGCACAACTCTTTGTCTCAAAAAAAAAAAAAAAATTTTTTTTTTTAAAGACACGAAGTAGGAAATATTATTGGCAAACTTGTAATCTTTTTAGGTAGATGGCCATGGAAGGCTTCACTGAGAAGGAGCCATTTGAAAGACCTTAAGAAGTGAGGGAGCAGATCATGAGGAAGGATATTTGGGAGAAGAACTTACAGTTAGTGGGAGGAGCCAGTATGAAGGTCCTAAGGCAGCAGTGTGCCCTGTATGTTTGAAGAACAGGAAGGAGGGCCAGTGTGGCAGCATCGCACTGTAAGGACTGGCTTTAATACTGAATGAAGTTGCAGGGTTTTGAGCAAAGCCATGATATGATCTGACTAACCATATTATAACAGAGTCAGTGTGGTTGCTATATTGAGAATAGCCCATAGGGAGTCACGAGCTGAGGCAGTTAGGAGACTACTGCAGTATTCCAAGCCACAAGGAAATAGTGAGTGGCTGGATTCTGGATTTGCTGATGAATTGGGATGTGGGATGTGAGCAGGGAATAACCAAGATGATTTTAAGGTTCATGACTCCTGTGGGCTTTTGAAACTGTAGAACCCTGGTATCAATATAAATATAATGAATACTTTGCTAAAAAAAAAGCCATAGAACTATTTTAAGTAATTTGCTTTACAAACCATAATGCTTCTTTTTTAAAGCTCTTCACAGAATACGGTCGTCTGGCAATGGATGAAATTTTCCAAAAGCCTTTCCAGGTTAGAATATTTATTTTAAATATAATTCATATATTTGTTTTTATTCACAGATCAGCAGACTACAGCTCATAGGCCAAATCTAGCCTGCCACTTGTTTTTATGACTGTGAGCTAAGAATGGTTTTTACATTTTTAAATGGTTGAAAAAAATGAGCAATACTATTTTATGACATGTAAATTATCTGAAATTCAAATGTCAGTGTCTATAGATAAAATTTTAGTGGAACACAGCCATGCTCATTTGTCTTTGTACTGTCTGTGACTGCTTTCCTGCTGCAATGGCAGAGTTGAGTAATTACTTAAAAAATAAACTCTCTGGGTTGGGCATTTTGGCTTACGCCTGTAATCCCAGCACTTTGAGAGGCCAAGGCAGGCAGATCACCTAAGGTCAAGAGTTCGGGACCAACTTGGCCAACATGGAACCTGTCTCTACTAAAAATACAAAAATTAGCTGGCATGGTGGCGGGTGCCTGTAATCTCAGCTACTCAGGAGGCTAAGGCAGGAGAGTTGCTTGAGCCTGGTAGGTGAAGTTTACAGTGAGCTGAGATCATGCCACTGTACTCCAACCTGGGTGACAGAGCAAGACTTTGTCTCAAAAAAAAAAAAAAAAACGAAAAAAGAAAAAGAAAAGGTTGTGCACGCCTGCAGTCCCAGCTACTTGGTGGGGTTGAGGTAGGAGGATTATTTAAGCCTAGGAGGTCAAGGCTGCAGTGAGCCATGATTGTGCCACTGCACTCCAGCCTGGGTAACAAAGCAAGACCATCTCAACACTGTCTCTGTCTCTGTCTCTCTCTCTCTCTCTCTCTCTCTCTCTCTCTCTCTCTCTCTTTCTTTGCTGACCTCTGCTTTAGTTCAGTGTTTCTTGAGAATGAGGAAGCACAGCAGCCTCAATCAACGGGATTAGAGGTGCTTTCAGTGTGTAAGCCTTATTTCTTTTCTTTTCTAATTTATTTATTTTTTTTGAGATGGAGTTTCTATCTAAAATTTTGTCCAGGCTGGAGTACACTGGCACGATCTTGGCTCACTGCAACCTCTGCCTCCCAGATTCAAGCAATTCTCCCGCCTCCCCCTCCTGAGCAGCTGGGATTACAGGCGCCCAGCTAATTTTTTGTATTTTTTGTAGAGATGGAGTTTCATCATGTTGACCAGGCTGGTCTCAAACTCCTGACCTCAGGTGATCCACTGCTTTGGCCTCTCAAAGTAAAGGGATTATGGGCCTGAGCCACTGTGGCTGGGCTTCCTTTCTAATGCTGAAAGCAGATCTGATTTTTTTTTTTTTTTGGAGACGGAGTCTCGCTCTGTCACCCAGGCTGGAGTGCAGTGGTGTGATCTCGCCTCACTGCAACCTCCGCCTCCTGGGTTCAAGTGATTCTCCTGTCTCAGCCTCTCGAGTAGCTGGGATACAGGCGTAATCCACTGTGCCCGGCCGCAGATCTGATTTTATGATTAGCTGGTGCCATGTGGTTTTCTCTTTTGTCCTTTACTACATTTCCCATAGATTTCTTTAAGGCAGAGTCCCAAATTTACCATTTTCTCGTTAATGTCTTCCTTCCGTTCCTACTAACCCGTGGAACAAAAATAGCAGATAGGATATATTGACCTCATATGTGGCTTAAACATGTCCTTCCAGTATTTGTAAAACTTCTAAGACATTATAGAATAGATAAATCTGGCTGGGTGTGGTGGCTCACACCTGTAGTCCCAGCACTTTGGGAGGCCAAGGCCGCAGGATTGCTTGAGGCCTGGAGTTCAAGACCAGCCTGGGCAACAGAGCAAGACCTCGTCTATACAAAAAATAAAAATAAAAAATAAGCCAGGTGTAGTGGCATGTGCTTGTAGTCCCGGCTACTTAGGAGGCTGAGGTGAAAGGATCACTTGAACCCAGGAATTCTAGGCTACAGTGAGCTATAATCATGCCACTGCACTCTAGCCTTAGTGATGGAGCAAGGCCCAACCTCTTAAAAAAAAAAAAGAAAGAAAAGTAAATCCTTCAGTACATATCTTTACCCCCTTTTTAGAAGCTGGTATTATGCAAAGATGTATTGCAGTTGTTCTCTTGAAAATGTGTTTATGCATGTTAAAATATGTTCTGCTCTTTTCTTAAATAGACACTGATGTTTTTGGTTAGAGATTGGAGTTTCCCTTATGAATACAGCTACGGACTCCAAGGAGGGATGGCATTTTTGGATAAGCGTTTACAGGTAAGTGGGACTATAATCTTCTGAGGAATTATCTCAAAGTAGTGATAGCTTTCTCATTTGCCTTTGGCTATTGTGTTTAAAGCAATTATTGGAAATGATATTGAGTACATTAACTATATATGAATCTTAATGCAAGCTAATATTATTTATTCCTGATAAGATTAAAGAACCTGTATATACTATGCACAGGAACTGTGGAAGAAAACTCTGGGCCAGTGCCCAAGCTTTGATTGTAATTTCCATTTTACATTTTAAACCAAGTTCTATATGTGTCTTTAGAAGTCACACTCAGAATCTTAGTTACGTTATTCTTATTCAAAATTTTTACTTATTTTGGGATAAACAGGCGTAACCTGTTCCGCCAAACCAAAACACAGGAATCCTTTGTCTGTCACTACTAATTGGTTAGATCCTCCTTCATCCGCACAAACCATCCCTTGTGTAATACTCTTTTTAAAGAAACTCTTCCGGCCGGGCACGGTGGCTCAAGCCTGTAATCCCAGCACTTTGGGAGGCCGAGACGGGCGGATCATGAGGTCAGGAGATCGAGACCATCCTGGCTGACACGGTGAAACCCCGTCTCTACTGAAAAATACAAAAACTAGCCGGGCGAGGTGGCGGGCGCCTGTAATCCCAGCTACTCGGGAGGCTGAGGCAGGAGAATGGCGGGAACCCGGGAGGCGGAGCTTGCAGTGAGCCGAGATCCGGCCACTGCACTCCAGCCTGGGCAACAGAGCGACACTCCGTCTCAAAAAAAAAAAAAAAGAAACTCTTCCGCACCTGATTTGTTAGCTATAGGAGTCAAGCCATGGGTAATCAGATTTGTGTGTTTATTGCTTCTTAGGGTTCTGCGTTTTCTCATTTGGCCACCATGATCCATCAGAGTGGAGGAGTCTTCTTACCTTTGTCCTTATACTAGTTGTCCCTAGTAAAGAAAACCAGAGGACTTTTGATTGGTAAAGTGTTGGTCTTCATTGGCAGGTGAAGGAACATCAACATGAAGAAATTCAGAATGTTCGAAATCACATTCACTCATGTTTCTCTGATGTCACCTGCTTTCTCTTACCACATCCAGGACTCCAGGTGGCCACAAGCCCTGACTTTGATGGGAAATTAAAAGGTGTGTTCCAAGTGTTACTTTAAACATGTGATTTGATCTTTGAAATTAAAAATAATGAATCACTTACAAATCAAGTGAATGCTTAAGAAAAATGGTGTGCTGTCTTACAGTAGTATTTAAAGTCTAGTTCAGATTTTGCTCCTGACTTAATGCACCCATCAGAATTAGTTTGCCTTGACTTCTCCACCTGTAATGGTGGTGTTCATATCCATTAGTAGTCTTTCTAAGAGACTCGTTATGGTTCTTGGTTTACAAGAGATACAAATACTAAATAAAGGAAGACTAAACATTAGTCAGCTAATATTAAGTAAAATTAACTTCCCAAGGGAAGGCAGCATGATGCATAGCAGAGCTATTATTTTCATCTTATTTGTGATTATAGCAAAACCTGATGCTGGGTCATGTGCTAATATCAGGAAGTGCTAACTCAGTGGTAGGTGAGAGGAATTGTAGTTGGGACTCTTGGGCTCCATTATCTTATTTTTGTTCCTTTTTCATTAAGGCCTTGAGTCATTAAATGGCTGGCCCTTGATTTACACATGTGTTAAACTGAGCACTCATTAATAAGCTTATCCGAGTCTCTCAGATTGCTGGTAATGTTTGCAACACTATGCTAGGTACTTTGATACTTATGCTCCCAGTAATTCCATGAAGTTGATGTAATTTCCTTTATCTTATACGTGAGGAAAATGGCAAAAATAGTTAAGGAAAAGGAGGAAGGTTAAGTAACTTGCTCAAATTGCTCTGCTAGTAAGTAAGTGGTGAGGTGCAGATCTGCATCCAAGTTCTTGTTGCTCCAAACCCATACTGGGCTAAAATAGGGGTTCTTCTGTTATATGGAGGAAATCATTTAGAGGAGATGTACTGTTTAGTTACTACTAAAAGGTTTTGAAGTGAATGGTTTTCATAGCCTTATATTAAATATAAAGTGCATCATTTTTAACCTATTTGATTTAGTTGATCCAAGAAAATGAATGTTCAATGCAAGATTTTCATTCCAGCTGATCTTAATATTGCAAAGAAACTGAGTTAAAGAGACTTAACCTTTACCTTTTATTTGTCACTTCTCTGATATTTTTACATGGTTGGCAGCTTTCCTGAGGAGGAGACTTCCCTGGCCTGTTTCATGGCAATTGAAAGATCTAAGATTATTGCTTTGGGAGAGAAATCTGCTTGGCAAGCACTGGACCTAGAATCTTTTACCTGAAAAGCAGTTTCAAGGGAGTTTTCAGAGCTGAGTAGGGAGAGAAAGTTGAGTGTGTGTATGTGTGTCTCTAGGTAATACATTGTTTAGGATTATAATGCTCCATTATTAGTTGTACTTTTACCAACCTGAACTCGGATTTGTTCATCACTGATGGGGAATGTGTCCAGTGGAATTCTTAAATGGTGGTGTTAGGAGAGGATGAAGTAGAGTGACTCCTAGTGATTATCCTGTATAAACACATACAAATGGCATTCTTCCATAGTTTCAATTTTAATACTCCAATGCATTGCTTTAAAGTTTGTTTTCATTTTTATCATGCTATTCAGGGAGTAGGCAGAGTTTCTTAAAGTTCAGTAGCCCTGGCTTTTTTAGCATCACTATGCCTGGCTAATTTTTTTATTTTTTTGTAGAGACAGGATCTCCCTATGTTGCCCAGGCTGGTCTCGAACTCCTGACCTCCCACCTCCCACTTCAACTTCTTAAAGTGTTGGGATTACTGGCATGAGCCACCATGCCCAGCCAGTACTTTTTTAAATGGAAAGATTTGAAAAATAAAAATTTGCTTTTTTGCCTAACTTTAAAATGTTAAAAATATGTTAAAAGCCTGCCCTCTGTATTTATTTCAGGAACTACAATTATTATGAGGATTGTTCATGAAGAATTCTTACTAGCTCTGCAAAGGTTTATGTACATTTTAGATTTGGAATTTTAGGGAACCTCTTAACCAGGATATTGAAAGGTTTTGAGTGAAGAGTAAATTAGATGCTAAATTGCAAGTAGCAGGTGATTTGTATTTGGCAAGTGCTAGCTTGAGAACCACACACATTTTATTGTAGGAGACCTGTTAGTAGAACTAATGTAGTTTTCAGAATTAAAAAAAAGATAGACATTATATTTTCTCAGGTATATACTTGTGCAGTTCCATGGTTGAGATTCTGCAGTCCTGTTCTATGTAACTTGGAAAAGACAACATTAGCCTGAGGTTGTTAGGGCTAATCCATAAAAAGAACTTAAAATGTAATTTTTGTGGAACATTTAAATTTCATAAGAACTACATTCTGAAACTATTTCTGCAAATGTTCCCCCAGATACTTTAGGAATTATTCCAGTGGTTTTATTTTAGTTTTAAAGATCAACCACTTATTTAGAGGTAGATGCCTGCCAAACATGATCTTAGTTTTGGTATAACTGATACTGACCTGCTGTTTCTTGCAGTAATTAGCTAGCATAGCTGCTGAGTTTTTGTTGTTGTTGTTTTTGTTTGTTTGTTTGTTTTTTGAGACAGAGTCTTGTCTGCACTCTGTTGCCCAGGCTGGAGTGCAGTGGTGCAATCTCAGCTCACTGCCACCTCCGCCTCCTGGGCTCAAGCGATTCTTGTGCCACATTCTCCCGAGTAACTGGGATTGCAGGAGTGCACTGCCACACCTGGATAATTTTTGTATTTTTAGTAGAAACGGGATTTCACCATGTTGGCCAGGCTGGTCTTGAACTCCTGGCCTCAAGCAATCTGCCCCCCTTGGCCTCTCAAGGTGCTGGGATTACAGGTGCGAGCCACCACGCTAGGCCTAGAATAGCTGCTCTTTGAGAATACTTTTCATCAGATGCAGGATGACTGTGTTGTCAGCATAAAGAAAATTGTCATCTTCCTATTTACTGTCACAGGGAGACCTAATACAATAACTACTGAGTTGTTTAGTTAGAAATTACACAGGAGGGTTTATAGGGCACAGTCTTCTTTGACACCATTGAAGATTGAGATTGTTTCTGTTATGAGACAGTTCTTGTCTATTGTGATTTTAAAACTGTTATTTTGGTGTAGGCTTCATAGAAACATGAGTAGCATATAGGGCCTGTACAGCTTGTTAAAGTGGCAAGTGTAGCATCTGGATCCTGCTACTACTTCTTGTGTGAGGTATTTTTGAAACACTCAGTCTTTCAGTGTGATGGAAATTGAAACCATACAAAAAGGTTTTTTGAATATATAATACATTCACATGTTTAAAATGTTATAAAGGATTAAAAAGTACTCAGTGAAAAGTCTCTCTTCCATTTTTGTAGGCTTTCAGAGTTTCTTCAGTATATGAAAGCAAATGTGAATGTGTACAGAAATGGCCTATTATGTATACTTTTATACTTTTTCCTTACAAGGTTATAAAGTACTTTTCCCATGCTTTTCTTAAAATTTTAGTTTTATTTTTCATGTTATAGTCTGTTGGTGGAGTATTGAAGAGTTCTTATTTGATGTGGGCTCCTACTTGCTTTTTTTTTCAGTGTATAGCTGGGAACCCAAGAAGATGTTAGAAGATTATGTAAATCAGCTTTTCTGTATTTTAATTCTCCTGTGTCTTTGTAGTTGGACCAGCCAATAATTCTTACTTTGAGGAAAGAACTCTATTTAATGGTTCTCCTGATCCCTCTATGGAAACCTTGTAGAAACTGCAGAGAATCTGTCACCTTTCTTGAGTTAGTGGTCTTTTCATTTTGGGGTGGTTCCAAGAGTCTCTGAGGAGATAATAGAAAATAAATATAATGAGGGACAGGTAGTTCTTCTTTTAACATTAAAAAAATTAACAAGAATAAATCAAATGGATGACCAGTGATTTCTAATTGATTTAAAAGAGTAGTGTGAGGGCATGGCAAAGGTCTGAGACAACTTGAGAGGTTGAAAATTGACCTGTTGTAGACCTTGTTAATGAAATTCTTTTTTTTTTTTTTTTTTTTGAGATGTAGTTTCACTCTGTTGCCCAGGCTGGAGTGCAGTGGTGCGATCTTGGCTCACTGCAACCTCTGCCTCCCAGGTTCAAGCTGTTCTCTGCCTCAGCCTCCCAAGTAGCTGGGATTACAGGTGCCCGCCACCACCTCTGGCTAATTTTTGCATTTTTAGTAGAGATGGGGTTTCACCATCTTGGCCAGACTGGTCTTGAACTCCTGATCCACCTGCCTTGACCTCCCAGAGTGCTGGGATTACAGGCGTGAGTCACTGCGCACGGCCATCAAATTATTAAAAAGTGAAATTTCTTGAAAGGCTAGGGAGTAGACCAGATATCCCAGAGTGAAAACCAAGGTAAGGATATTCTGCATATATAGTATTCTATTTTGAACTAGAGAAGACTTTCTACTACAGTGGGGAAGGAGAAAAATGAAGGTACATTGGGACAGAGATCTATCAGCAACTTGGTCATAGCCAGAAAGTGTCAAAACATAGTCTCAGACCCCTTATTCTCTCCCACGTTTTTTTTTTTTTTTCCTTGAGGTGGAGTTTCACTCTTGTTGCCCAGGCTGGGGTGCAATGGTGCAATCTCGGCCCACTGCAACCTCCTCCTCCTGGGTTCAAGTGATTCTCCTGTCTCACCCTCCTGAGTAGCTAGGATTACAGGCACCCACCACCATGCCCGGTTAGTTTTTCTATTTTTAGTAGTGACGGGGTTTCACTATGTTGGTCAGACTGGTCTCCTGACCTTAGACGATCCACCTGCCTCGGCCTTCCAAAGTGCTGGGATTATGGGCAGGAGCCACCAGGCCGGCTTCTCTCCCACTTTCAACAACCAATGTTAAAAGCACTAGACTGGGAAGATTGCATTTTATGTTCACTTTGGTTGAATAAGGCTGTTTGGCTTATTTTTTCCTTCTTTGTGGTCCTGTGAACAGATATTGCTGGTGAATTCAAAGAGCAGTTACAGGTACTGATACCGTATGTATTAAACCCATCTAAGTTAATGGAAAAGGAGATCAATGGCTCAAAGGTCACCTGTCGGGGACTACTGGAGTATTTTAAGGTACATATAGATTTTAATTACTAAAATTTTTGATTTTTGGTAAAGCTGATCTAACTTGTAAATCAACTTGAATTTAAATATTGTGAAACTTAAAATTTTCTGGGGGAGATGGTGAAAGGCATTTTCAGAGACCTTGGTGTCCTTCCGGGAGTGGGCCATTGGGTGGCAGTATTGGTCTAAGAACCAAATGGATGTTCTTTGCACTCTCTTAGAGGAGCAATTAGCTGTGACTAAAGGAAGATTGTTCCTCAAGGAAGATGGTGTGGACAGGAGGTGGTTAGGAAGTTGCTGTGAGTAGGAGGAGACGGCACCTAGATGTGACACGACTACCTCAAGGCGGATGGTCACTCTGCCCACAGGTAGTGGTGAGGTCAGCGTGCATGGGGAGCTGGATGGGAATCCTAGCCTCTGTAGGTTTGTGCTGCTTGAGAACATTTTTAGTTAACTAAAAATGCTAACATGCACTCAAAGGTGTGTGGTGTGTTTTTGCTAATTCTTGGTTGTTGATCTAAGTGTTTAGGAAAATGCAGTTGTATGGTCACTTTCTAAAAATTAATTATGAGTAAGATATGACTGAATAACATTTTATAGCAGTTTTTATGTTTATATTTTAAGGCATATATTAAAATTTATCAAGGAGAAGATCTGCCTCACCCCAAGTCCATGCTTCAGGTAAACAAGATTTGGCATCCTAAATGCTACCCTTCAATTACCTGAGTTGACCTGTATACAATAAGCAGAGTTCTTCAGGAAGAGAATGTGCTTTTTCTCCTTTTTCATTATGCTGAGGTCTGTTAATTTTTTTTTAGCACATTTTGCAGTAGTGTGGCCTCCTAGTTCACTTTGCAGTAATGTGACCTTCTAGTTCACTTGTTTGTATTCATGGTTGTACAGTTGAAATGGCTTCTTCTCACTGGGCCTAGACTTTTCACCAAACACACTTCGGGAAGCACAGTTTATTATACTTGGGTGAAACATACCCAGCATGTTAGACAAGCAATTTCTTGTCATCTGTTGGTTTTTTTTTTTTAATATAATTTATAATTTATAATTTTTTGAGACAGAGTCTCACTCTTGACAAGGCTGGAGTGCGGTGGCATGATCTCGGCGCACTGCAACCTCCACCTCCTGGGTTCAAGTGATTCTCGTGCCTCAGCCTCCCAAGTAGCTGGGATTATAGGCATATACCTCCATGCCTGGCTAATTTTTGTGTTTTTAATAGAGATCGGTTTAGCCATGTTGCCCAGGCTGGTCTTGAACTCCTGGACTCAAGCAATCCGACCGTCTTGGCCTCCCGAAGTGCTGGGATTATAGGGGTGAGCCACCGTGCCTGGCCATAATTTTTTTAATTAAAAAAAAAAAAATAGTGATGTGGTCTTGCTGTGTTGCTCAGGTTGGTCTCAAACTTGGCTCAAGCGATGTGCCTGCCTCAGCCTCCCAAAGTGCTAAGATTATAGGTGTAAGCCACCGTGCCTGACCTACTGTTTACTTTAGTGGAACATGTCCTGACATACCTGTTTACTATTCGCTAATCAGGTTTTTAATTTGCAACTAGAATGTCATTTGGTTAAAATATAATTTTTACTTTCATATGCTGAACATAAGGGGATTTATTGCCAAGTGTTGATTTCTTTTGTAGCAGAAAATTTTCATAAAGGGAGCTAGAGCCTGGGATTGACATTGCAAATAATTTTTTCCTTTTTTTTTTTTGAGACAGAGTCTCGCTCTGTTGCCCAGGCTGGAGTGCAGTGGCGCGATCTCGGCTCACTGCAACCTCCTCCTCCTGGGTTCAAGTGATTCTCCTGTCTCACCCTCCTGAGTAGCTAGGATTACAGGCACCCACCACCATGCCCGGTTAGTTTTTCTATTTTTAGTAGTGACGGGGTTTCACTATGTTGGTCAGACTGGTCTCCTGACCTTAGACGATCCACCTGCCTCGGCCTTCCAAAGTGCTGGGATTATGGGCAGGAGCCACCAGGCCGGCTTCTCTCCCACTTTCAACAACCAATGTTAAAAGCACTAGACTGGGAAGATTGCATTTTATGTTCACTTTGGTTGAATAAGGCTGTTTGGCTTATTTTTTCCTTCTTTGTGGTCCTGTGAACAGATATTGCTGGTGAATTCAAAGAGCAGTTACAGGTACTGATACCGTATGTATTAAACCCATCTAAGTTAATGGAAAAGGAGATCAATGGCTCAAAGGTCACCTGTCGGGGACTA